CTTTGCAGAGTTCATTGGAAAGCATTTTAATACTTGTTTTCCAAAGTGCGGACGTAAAAAAACGATCGTTGCCTGTTTCTCATGGATAATGACCAATCACAAACAAGTAAAGCAGCGCGAAAAGCAATTGAAAAAATCGAGGCTGAATTTCGCAAGATTCCGGCCAGATCGCCTGACCTGAAGCCGATTGAAAATGTCTTTCACTTGGTAAAGGAAAGTCTCGAGAATGAAGCAATTGCTGGTAATATAACGTAAGAAACGTTCCAAGACTTTTCGGCGCGGGTTTTAAAATCCTTGGAAAATCTGTCAACCGATGTAATCGACCGTACTATTTCAAGCCTGTCAAGTAGAGTAGATGCTGTTATTAAAGCAAGAGGAAATCACATAAAATACTAGGAGTCTTATCTTTTACTGTTATATATAGTAATTCAAGGCAGAGCATAGTTAATATAGAAGACCTCTATATTAACTATGGGCAGAGTAAGGGCAGTATAGATCATAATAGGTGTAGCCATTTTCGCAAATAGGCAATTAGCTTGCTGTCAACAAGTAGATTAAATGCTAAGTACAATTTACTCGTCTTCACAGCGTGACTCCAATGGTGCAGCAACGCAATATTACAAACAGTGTTCCATTGATATTTCCTAATAATTTGCCAAGGATGCAGAAATTTTTGTTTTCGGATACACAAAGTGGTTTGCATTACTTGAATAAATGCGTTTATTCATTATAAAATCTTATTTAGATCATTATTGCTAAATTAAGAACAGTACTCCACAAACTTAGCTTAAATTCCTTGACTATCTCACTGAATTCTTTAGGAAAATGGGGAACACTGTTCAAAATCATGCAAGATATAGTTATAATTTATTTATTTCGAAGCGAATAAGTTGACCATTAAATATCATTATCAAAGATCGTTATATTATTTGCAAATATTAAAATTTAATAGATTTACAATGAATTTTTTGATGGAGTAATGTATGGACCTATGACATTATGTTATGCATATCTTGGCATGAAACATTATAGGTTGTAAGTGCTTATTACGTCAATGACTAATGCGATTTAGTTATAACTTGTAATCTAAAACAAACTTAGCAAAGCAATGTCTACGAGGTATTCACTCGTCAAATGTAACTTGTGAAATATATACAAGACCACAAATTACGGCTTAAATACTTGTTTCCATCTGATTATATTTTTCAAAATGTGCACATGCCCATAATGTTGTTAGATTAAGTACGATTAAAGTGAAAATTCTAAAAATGGATATATGTATGAAATAGCGAACTTTAATATGTCATTATTATTATATTTTATTATTATTATATTATAAATGTTTATTATATATGTAGACGCACGTTATTAATACGCAAAACATTATTAAAGGTTCACTAACGATTCAAGGATTAAGGCCGATGTATTTTGATGAAATAAAAATAAAAATGTAAGATAATGCACATTCAGACAATCCTGGTCAAAAATTCTTGGCGCACGTAGTCCAAATAGCATAACCTTTACTTCATTTCTGATTACCATATAAATACTTGCCCATTTTATGCAAAATTTCATGTCCAAACTCCCCCTATCCCCCTTATCAATGTTGTGTAACACATTGGACGTATAACACACTACAGACAACATTGAACGGGGGAAAGGGGGGTTGCTATGCTTGTTATTGAAGTGGGAGTCAAATTTCACACGGTCAGTGTCAAGCGCGCCAATATTTTTGACCAGGATTGTCCGAATATAACAATGAAACTAAAATTTATGTACATATATAATTCTGACTCAGAATGTACCGAAGCATTATTTACCTGTTTTACACGTGTATTGGGAGGCGTGTTCTAGATGATTTCGTTGGGAGTTATTGAAACCTAGCGTGCGCGTCGTAATGTGTTGATAATTATGACGTCATATGGGGGGGGGGGGTACTATGATTCATGATATTCCCGTACACGTATATTAAGTGAGGCTGGCTAGAAAATAAAATTGAATTATATACATTTCGATAATTAGGTTCATTTAAGCATGATTTACACAAGAAAAATCACAGAAAAGACAAGGGCTTTGGTACTTTATTGTAGAAAGGAATCGGGTTTTCCGAATAGGGAGATCGCGAGAAAATGTCATATAAGCCCTTCATCAGTAGCAAGAATATAGAGGGAAAACCAACAACTAGCTGCGCTGAGATCTAAACAGTCCAAAGGCAACAAGGTCGCCCAAGAAAAGTTGACGAGCGATCGTAATTGTCGCTATTTTGAAAGGATGGGAAAGGTGTGGTTCTCAAAGTTCCCTATGAGAAAATGAATGGCAATTTCTTTGCAGAGTTCATTGGAAAGCATTTTAATACTTGTTTTCCAAAGTGCGGACGTAAAAAAACGATCGTTGCCTGTTTCTCATGGATAATGACCAATCACAAACGAGTAAAGCAGCGCGAAAAGCAATTGAAAAAATCGAGGCTGAATTTCGCAAGATTCCGGCCAGATCGCCTGACCTGAAGCCGATTGAAAATGTCTTTCACTTGGTAAAGGAAAGTCTCGAGAATGAAGCAATTGCTGGTAATATAACGTAAGAAACGTTCCAAGACTTTTCGGCGCGGGTTTTAAAATCCTTGGAAAATCTGTCAACCGATGTAATCGATCGTACTATTTCAAGCCTGTCAAGTAGAGTAGATGCTGTTATTAAAGCAAGAGGAAATCACATAAAATACTAGGAGTCTTATCTTTTACTGTTATATATAGTAATTCAAGGCAGAGCATAGTTAATATAGAATACCTCTATATTAACTATGGGCAGAGTAAGGGCATTATAGATCATAATAGGTGTAGCATTTTCGCAAATAGGCAATTAGCTTGCTGTCAACAAGTAGATTAAATGCTAAGTACAATTTACTCGTCTTCACAGCGTGACTCCAATGGTGCAGCAACGCAATATTACAAACAGTGTTCCATTGATATTTCCTAATTATTTGCCAAGGATGCAGAAATTTTTGTTTTCGGATACACAAAGTGGTTTGCATTACTTGAATAAATGCGTTTATTCATTATAAAATCTTATTTAGATCATTATTGCTAAATTAAGAACAGTACTCCACAAACTTAGCTTAAATTCCTTGACTATCTCACTGAATTCTTTAGGAAAATGGGGAACACTGTTCAAAATCATGCAAGATATAGTTATAATTTATTTATTTCGAAGCGAATACGTTGACCATTAAATATCATTATCAAAGATCGTTATATTATTTGCAAATATTAAAATTTAATAGATTTACAATGAATTTTTTGATGGAGTAATGTATGGACCTATGACACTATGTTATGCATATCTTGGCATGAAACATTATAGGTTGTAAGTGCTTATTACGTCAATGACTAATGCGATTTAGTTATAACTTGTAATCTAAAACAAACTTAGCAAAGCAATGTCTACGAGGTATTCACTCGTCAAATGTAACTTGTGAAATATATACAAGACCACAAATTACGGCTTAAATACTTGTTTCCATCTGATTATATTTTTCAAAATGTGCACATGCCCATAATGTTGTTAGATTAAGTACGATTAAAGTGAAAATTCTAAAAATGGATATATGTATGAAATAGCGTACTTTAATATGTCATTATTATTATATTTTATTATTATTATATTATAAATGTTTATTATATATGTAGACGCACGTTATTAATACGCAAAACATTATTAAAGGTTCACTAACGATTCAAGGATTAAGGCCGATGTATTTTGATGAAATAAAAATAAAAATGTAAGATAATGCACATTCAGACAATCCTGGTCAAAAATTCTTGGCGCACGTAGTCCAAATAGCATAACCTTTACTTCATTTCTGATTACCATATAAATACTTGCCCATTTTATGCAAAATTTCATGTCCAAACTTCCCCTATCCCCCTTATCAATGTTGTGTAACACATTGGACGTATAACACACTACAGACAACATTGAACGGGGGAAAGGGGGGTTGCTATGCTTGTTATTGAAGTGGGAGTCAAATTTCACACGGTCAGTGTCAAGCGCGCCAATATTTTTGACCAGGATTGAATCCTGGTCAAAAATTCTTGGCGCACGTAGTCCAAATAGCATAACCTTTACTTCATTTCTGATTACCATATAAATACTTGCCCATTTTATGCAAAATTTCATGTCCAAACTCCCCCTATCCCCCTTATCAATGTTGTGTAACACATTGGACGTATAACACACTACAGACAACATTGAACGGGGGAAAGGGGGGTTGCTATGCTTGTTATTGAAGTGGGAGTCAAATTTCACACGGTCAGTGTCAAGCGCGCCAATATTTTTGACCAGGATTGTCCGAATATAACAATGAAACTAAAATTTATGTACATATATAATTCTGACTCAGAATGTACCGAAGCATTATTTACCTGTTTTACACGTGTATTGGGAGGCGTGTTCTAGATGATTTCGTTGGGAGTTATTGAAAACCTAGCGTGCGCGTCGTAATGTGTTGATAATTATGACGTCATATGGGGGGGAGGGGTACTATGATTCATGATATTCCCGTACACGTATATTAAGTGAGGCTGGCTAGAAAATAAAATTGAATTACATACATTTCGATAATTAGGTTCATTTAAGCATGATTTACACAAGAAAAATCACAGAAAAGACAAGGGCTTTGGTACTTTATTGTAGAAAGGAATCGGGTTTTCCGAATAGGGAGATCGCGAGAAAATGTCATATAAGCCCTTCATCAGTAGCAAGAATATAGAGGGAAAACCAACAACTAGCTGCGCTGAGATCTAAACAGTCCAAAGGCAACAAGGTCGCCCAAGAAAAGTTGACGAGCGATCGTAATTGTCGCTATTTTGAAAGGATGGGAAAGTTGTGGTTCTCAAAGTTCCCTATGAGAAAATGAATGGCAATTTCTTTGCAGAGTTCATTGGAAAGCATTTTAATACTTGTTTTCCAAAGTGCGGACGGAAAAAAACGATCTTTGCCTGTTTCTCATGGATAATGACCAATCACAAACGAGTAAAGCAGCGCGAAAAGCAATTGAAAAAATCGAGGCTGAATTTCGCAAGATTCCGGCCAGATCGCCTGACCTGAAGCCGATTGAAAATGTCTTTCACTTGGTAAAGGAAAGTCCCGAGAATGAAGCAATTGCTGGTAATATAACGTAAGAAACGTTCCAAGACTTTTCTGCGCGGGTTTTAAAATCCTTGGAAAATCTGTCAACTGATGTAATCGATCGTACTATTTCAAGCCTGTCAAGTAGAGTAGAGCTGTTATTAAAGCAAGAGGAAATCACATAAAATACTAGGAGTCTTATCTTTTACTGTTATATATAGTAATTCAAGGCAGAGCATAGTTAATATAGAATACCTCTATATTAACTATGGGCAGAGTAAGGGCATTATAGATCATAATAGGTGTAGCCATTTTCGCAAATAGGCAATTAGCTTGCTGTCAACAAGTAGATTAAATGCTAAGTACAATTACACGTCTTCACAGCGTGACTCCAATGGTGCAGCAACGCAAAATTACAAACAGTGTTCCCTTGATATTTCCTAATTATTTGCCAAGGATGCAGAAATTTTTAATAACTTGTAATCTAAAACAAACTTAGCAAAGCAATGTCCACATGGTATTGAGGTATTCAGTCGTCAAATGTAACTTGTGAAATATATACAAGACCACAAATTACGGCTTAAATACTTGTTTCCATCTGATTATATTTGTCAAAATGTGCACACGCCCATAATGTTGTTAGATTAAGTACGATTAAAGTGAAAATTCTAAAAAAGGATATATGTATGAAATAGCGTACTTTAATATGTCATTATTATTATATTTTATTATTATTGTATTATAAATGTTTATTATTTATTTAGACCCACGTTATTAATACGCAAAACATTATTAAAGGTTCACTAACGATTCAAGGATTAAGGCCGATGTATTTTGATGAAATAAAAATAAAAATGTAAGATAATGCACATTCAGACAATCCTGGTCAAAAATTCTTCGCGCACGTAGTCCAAATAGCATAACCTTTACTTCATTTCTGATTACCATATAAATACTTGCCCATTTTATGCAAAATTTCATGTCCAAACTCCCCCTATCCCCCTTATCAATGTTGTGTAACACATTGGACGTATAACACACTACAGACAACATTGAACGGGGGAAAGGGGGGTTGCTATGCTTGTTATTGAAGTGGGAGTCAAATTTCACACGGTCAGTGTCAAGCGCGCCAATATTTTTGACCAGGATTGTAGATCCGTACTTTGATAAGAACAGTCATACCCTGAGAGTAGGTGGAAGGTTGAAGTACTCAGACTTACTTGAAGCCACTAAATATCCAGTTATTATTCCACACGGACACCCTATTAAAGAGAAGATCATCCAGAAAAGACAACAGGAATTACTCCATGCCGGCCTGAAATGACTCTTTCCGTTCTACGCCAGGGCATCTGGTTGACCAAGGGAAGACGCGAAGTCTAGAGGATTATTGGTTTATGCATTACCTGTCAACGTCAAAGAAAGGGTTCTTTGACACAGAAAATGGGTCCTTTAATTGCCACACGAACGAGTTTCATTTTCGCCACCATTTTCTCACGAAGGAGTAGACATTGCAAGGCCGTTATATATACGCGACAAGACACCAAGGAAGGCTTATATTTACGTGTGTGTCTTTACGTGTGCTTCTTCTCGCATGGTGCACATACAACAGGTTAAATATATGTCAACGAATGAATTCCTCCAAGCCTTAAGACGTATGATCGGTAGGAGAGAACTTTGCGAAACTATGTGGTCTGATAATGCGAAGACCTTCAAATCTGCAGAACAAAAGATTCGTAAGCTTTATTCGGCTCAGTCAACCGATACAAGTAATTTATGGAATCGTATTAATCAAGATGAAGTTATGGCTAAACTTCCAAGCAAGGGAATAAAGTGGAAATTCATTGTTGAGCGTGCTCCGTGGCAAGGCGGATAGTGGGAGAGACTTGTACGTTCGGTGAAAGAATCTCTACGTATAATATTGGGTAATTAGCTGCTATCGTTCACATAACTTACGACAGTGTTGGTTAAAATCGAAGCAGTTATCAACACCAGACCTCATGCCACCGTGAGTGATGATGTCAACGACGATACACCTATTACACCTGCGCATCTAGCGATTGGTAGATCACTAGTGAACCTACCGGTACCGGATGCGATAGAAGAGATCGAATTAACAGACTGTAAGACAACTATTCGGAGGTACTTGTATTAACAAAAATTGGTAAATCATTTCTGGAAACGTTGGCGAAATGAATATTTACATAAGCTAGCCGTTCGTCACAAATGCACGAATGAAGAGGCTTCAATTAGGATTGGTAATGTTGTGCTTTTCTTATCTAATGATAACGTGTCGCGACGAAGATGGCCTATATGGGACGTGATGAGCAAATGCACCAGGAAATGATGGTTTGATTCGCGCAGTTATCTTGCGTACGAGGAAGGGAACATTACGAAGACCGGTGCAGAGATTACATGCATTGCCTCGAAGTCACTGAAAATATGAACATGAATTCCGGTAAGGACGTTCCGCACTGTGGGTAGGTTAATCTGAAGAAACGAGATTCACGTCGTCAAAAAGGAAAGACACTAAAAACATCTAAGAAAATGAACAGCGATATTAAAGTTCTCCAAGCAAGTTGGAGAAGCGGGGAGGATGTTCGGACCCAAACCTCTCGGTCAGGTCGCCTAATTAAGCCGCGCGGGAGACTGGACTTATAAACCTAAAACTTAGCCTGTTTCCTGCCCGTTTTGCGGGCTAACACGTTATCGTTGTAGTTTTGCATTTCTTGTATTGCTCGTATTGCTCGTAATTTTTGTATTTCTCATTGTATTTCTCGCATTTCAAGTTCGAACATAATAAAGTTGTGTTAAATCAAACACAGCCAATCACTTGTAAGAAAACAGCCGTAAGTAACCTATTGTAATTAGAACAAGAACTTTGTATTGATTCATGTATTGAAAATTTAACTCAGTTTACACGCCAGTAAAATGGAAAATCGCAGCAAATTGCATTGTTGTCGCACCAAAGTTGTAGTTAAAATCGCAGGGTGTTTACATTGGAGGGCACCTAAAACTGGGCACCTAAAACCACCGTTGGCGGAAATTTTGGCGACGGGAGGGGGGGACAAAATTTTTTCCGGGATATCCCATATTTCCCCAAAATGACCAAAATTTCTCCGATATACAAAAAAATTTTCTGAGATAACATACTTTTTCCCGAAAACGACAAACATTTTCCGGATATCATAATTTTACCCGAAAATAACAGAATTTTTCGGGACATACCAAAATACAAAAACAAATACAATCAAAAATCCAAGGCTATTGGGCAAAAAATGCAATCTAAACGACATATTTCACGGAGGTAAAGAGCACTTTGCCCCCGGGAAAAGAGCACTTTTGAAAAGTTGGTGGGGGGAGGGGCTGCCCCACCCCCCTCTGGCCCGCCGATTCCTACGCCCCTGATTTCAAGTGTCAACAGCCCTTTATAAAACGTATGGAATATATATAACTGGTTTTGATGTGCAATGTATTTTCTTTTGTTATTTTTATTGCAGTTATTTAAGTAGTGCAATCTGGTAATTAGTTTTAGTATTATTCATTGTACTCTCTTCTCGTTTTCTCATTGGCTAAGAACATACAGATAATTCTAGGTTAATGCTGATGTTAAACTAATTACTTAAGCCCTTGACCAGGGCCAGCCTGGTTAATGTATTTATATGGGGAAATGCTTATCGTGGTGACAGAGGTTTAATCTTTTCAAAAGAGGTCGTGCGCAAAGCTATGCAGTGAAATGTCTCTTATAAGGGTAGCTCTCATGCTAATCAGGCAAACTCAGCTTTCATAAAAAATCCCCACGTCTGAACCTCTTTATTTTAAAAACTCATTCAGCGTACTTACCTATTTTTTGTTCATTTAAAAAGCAAATGTGTGTGGGGCCTAAATTCTTGGAATTCTACAGAGCCAAACATCAATTAACCCTTTATGTGGCAATGCACTCAGATGCGCCCTATACTTTATTATTTTACTCTATTATTTTAACGCCAGACGATTTTACTCGTCAGGGGGGGGGGAGTGCTGCAACTCAATGGGTTAAATCATGTATATATCATAATAGATTTGCAAAATATCAAATTTTCTAAGAAGATCTTTTCTTACAGGCCATTGAAGAAAACAAGAATTGGAACAAGATCACAGATAGTTAATTATGATACAATCCATTCTTGTGTGAATATTAGAAAAACAGTTTATAGAATGTACGAATTACTCCACATTGTACAGATATATGTCATCAGAATGATGTCGAAGTTATGGGGGGGGGAGGTGTATTTTGGGTTAAATCTAAGGCAATTAACCAAAAATGGTCCTTTATGAGCACTAGGAAACTTTGTTTTAACATGCTTGGCTCCTTGAGCATGTCGACGTTCGGTGTCCTTAATAATGAAGTATGCTGCCTCAGTCGATGGTCAGGCGCGGCTTTATGACCAGCCGTTTTTCAGCAACCGTCCGTCCAAATCAAATTACATCCATCCCTGGTGTAATACAAAAATTTTCAACTATAGCAGTTTTTTTATTTTGTTGGATTGTAAGAGTATCGCAGAAGGTTGCGTATGCCTGTAAATGATTAAATCTAAGTGAAGGGTTTATGTTTTAAAATACTTAAATTCTTCCTTGAAAATTCAGAAAGTTTTAATTAAAATTTTGCATGTACCTATATTAACGATCTGTGAAGAAGCTGATGGCCATCATCCATTTTATTTTTTAAAACACTGTAAATGGCAGCTTTAAATGCTCACTCCTGAGTCAGAACATGTGCATATTTACATAATAATAATGCAAACAGCAGCCATTAAATATGACAGTACACTTACAAGGTTATCTCTCTTTATGTTTAGCAACATTTTGCCCGATATAACCAAAAATCCAGCATAAATGTTCAGTTTGTCCGCAAATTTTGAAAAATTTTAAACCAAGATGGCGACACAGCATTTTTCGCGAAGGCTTGGTCGCTACGGTTTGAGCGTTTTTCAAAAAGAATACGCGTCTTTTTAAAAAAAATCTCCTCTTAAACATTTTACGGTCCATGTTCATATACCAACTATTCGTACAATTTAGATGAGCCGAAGCGGTCGAACGAAATTTGCGAAAACCATACTGGCCGTCAGATAGTAACGAATTCTCATTAATGTATTCATATTTTTTCCATTGGTTTACTTATTGATGGCAAAATTGAAATTGGCCTATAATGTTCAGATAAATTGCGTTGAAAAGAGGCAACAACCTGGCCACTTTCCATTCAGATAGATAGTGGCTAGAGATAAGTGAATGATTGAAAATATAAGTAAGTGAGGAGGCAATAGGCTGCATTTTCAATATCTTCCTTGATACCTTAAAGCCAGATGTCTTAGATTCAGATAGGCAGTTTAAAAGGTTGAGTACTTTGCTGCATGGCACCAACTAGCCAGCGTGGCCGGCTCTTTTATAAGTAGAGCCTGCCCGAAAGCCCTAGTCAAATTGATACTCTCGGCAGCCAGCCGCTGAGAATTGTGATTGGCTGAATTTACGTTGACGACAGGTTGATTGACATGTTACGCTAATTTATTCAAATATTTAAAAATAAATACAGTAAAATTGTATAACATATACCGTTATCTAAACACAATAAGGCAAGCCATATTGCTATTACTGCATATGTCGTATGATTTTACCGTATGGTCACTATAGTATAGAATATAAAACCTTGGCTGTCGAGCCTGTTCTTGCCTTGTTTATATTTTGCTGGCTGCCAAATTACGATTATTATAAGTAATAACATGACTAGAGGGAAATTAGCGATTAAATTTCCCGACGCCGAGGGAAGATTTGTGAAAGTCCGAGGACTTTCACAAATCTTCCCGAGGCGAAGGGAAATTTAATAGCTAATTTCCCGACTAGTCATGTTATTAGTTTGTAATATTATGATCGCCGAGGAAAACTCAAAAAAGTTTGCTGCAGAGATAAGTTTAGCTGTTTGATTTTGTATTTTTCAATGAAGTTGTTTATGAGTTTGGCTATTGATTGAAATAAGTGTACATTTGGGACATGCTTTGATGTTGTGAGACTTATGTAAATCACTGCATTGATTTTAAACTTAGTTTTCGAATATGGCTGCAACTTGAAGATCCTATTTTGTGTCAGACCGGACAGTTGAAAATGTTCGAAAAGATAGAGTGCCAAAGAATACCATAAGGCACACTACGTGGAATACAAATGTGTACAACGCGTGGGTTAAAGAGAGGAACGAGCAGTTTAAAGATTTTCAGGCAGAAAGAAACGAATTTCAGAGGATCTATAAATCTAAGTGGTTTGCTTCAAGGAGCCACTGCTAGTCACATAAATATAAAC